CCTGGACAGCGACCCGTGGCTGGGCCCCGCCGCCCAGTACGACGGGGGCCGGTACTGGAACCGCTTCCGAGACGTGAGTAGGGGTCGGGGGTCAGGGGTGGGGGGCCCAGGCCAAGGAGGAGGCCTGGGCAGCGGGGAGGGGGGGGCTGGGGTCCTGGAAGGGACACCCGGAGCCCCGGATGGACACACCTGCGCCTCCAGCCCCTGGCCCTTCCCAGGGGCGCCCCAGGGGCCGTGGGGGGTGGCACCTGGTACCCCGCTCCCAGCAGGCCGCAGCAGCCCCCCCCTGCGCCCTGGGAGAGGCCACCAGCACCTCCCCACACACCCCCACCCGGACAGCCCCGGCCCGGCCCTTCCCGGACACGGCTGGTCCTCTAGGACACTTGGCCTTGTGAATTGCCATCTCTGACTTGTTTAAATCCTGTAACAACAACAACAACAAGCTGTCCACGGCAAAGAAAAACAGCTTGTCAGGGGCAAATGCGGCTTTGTTTCTTTTTTTGGGGGGGTTTGAGGGGCTAAATGAATAACCTATATTAATATGCATTTATATAACATACCTATCTGTCTCTCTTCTGGTACTGGGGCTTGAACTCAAGGCTTAGTTCTCTCCCTCCATTTTTTCACTTAAGGATGTCGCTGTCTCTGCTACTTGTGGCTTTTTCGTGGTTCATTGTAGATAAAACACCCTTTTTCCCACCCTGGCTGGCTTTGAACCTCGATCCTCAGATCTCAGCCTCCCGAGTAGCTAGGGTGACAAGCATGAGCTCCCCCCCCCCCAGTGCCTGGCTCGGCTGCAATCTGAAGAACCCCACACCTTTGCCTGTGCCTGAACCAGGGAGTGTGTGTTCAGAGAGTCACCTGGGGCCGAGGGAGTTTTGCTTTGGCTCTTGCAAGGAGTTGTGGGAAGGGGAGCATGTGTGGCTGCTGATCAGTTGAGTTGTGGGGTGCCCTCCCACCCGTTCAGGCTGGCTCACAGTGTGTTTGTGTTCTCTGTGTATCACGTGATTCCAATATCTCATTTAGCTTCACATACAAACAAACACCTGATCTTTATTTATGCTGGATGGATGGTACTGGCTTTGGGTTAATGCTTTTTTTGGGGGGGGAGTGGAGTGGATTCCATGTTTCTGGGGGTCTGTATTTCATTTAGTTATTTATTTTGGTCGGTCGTGGGGCTTCAACTCTGGGACTGGGCGCTCTCCCTCAGCTCTTGAGCTCAAGGCGAGCGCTCTACCACTTGAGCCACAGCGCCACTTCCTGGGGTCTGTATTTTAAACAGATCGGCCAGGCAGTAATTCGTAGGATCTTGGAAAGCATGAAGACAAAAGAAGAAAGAAAAAAAAAGTGACAAAGGCTTTACCCTTCCCCAGATGAGAAAAGGTTCAGTTGCATTTCTTTCTTTTTTTTTCCTGGAGTTGCTTCAGGTGTCAAGGTAATACTTGTCGATTGGAAAAATGATAATTGGATCCAGCCTGCCAGTAACAGATTGACAAGTGTTCCCACAAAACTTCAGGCCTCGTCCATCACCCACCATTTTCTCTGCTTCATTGGCGCCTTCCCCCACAGTGGCTCAGATGTCGCTTAATGCCATTAACCTCTTCCTGGTTTTCTTTTATGAAAGAGGACAGAGCCACGCATCTTGTTTTTGTCAGTTGTGGGTCTTGAACTCTGCGCCTGGGCGCTGTCCCTCAGCTCTTCAGCTCAAGGCGAGCGCTCTACCACTTGAGCCACAGCGCCACTTCTGGTTTTCTGGTGGTTCATTGGAGATAAGAGTCTCACGGACTTTCCTGCCTGGCTGGCTTTGAACCATGATCCTCAGATATCAACCTCAACCTCCTGAGTAGCTAGGATGACAGGTGTGAGCCACTGGTGCCTAGCTAGCCTGAACATTTTCTCGGAGCCAGGCTTTGCTCAAAGTAGACAAAGCCCCAGATTCTTTGCTGTTGTTCCCCGCCCCCCCGCAAAGTCTCTGATAAGCTTTGAAAGGCTGTGTCCTAGGATGACTGTGAGGCTGAATGCGTTGTCACTTTTGGAAACTCACTTTGGTAAAGAACTTCTCATCATTCTTGTTACTTGGTTGGAAAAGAGAGATTTAGACAATGATCTTTTTTTTTTTTTTCCAATCCTGGGAAAATGAAGAGCCCAGGGCTCTGCTCCTTACGAGGGCCCAGTGTGAGCTGGAGAGGAGGCTGAGCCGTTGGGCATGGCTGTGTTCTTGCTGGTGACTGTCTGGCAGACTCGACTTTCCACTTTAAACTGTATCTCATTGCTCACGGTCTGCTTTCCTGAAGTAACACCTTCAGAATGGCCCCGTGGCCTCTCTCCTGGAGTTACAGATGCCGGAGAAAAATACCAACTTGTGGATGATTGTTCCTAGAGGCATTTGGAGTCCGCTAGGCTGATCCTTGTTCTTTGATAAAGACTGGTTGTTTGGCCAGAAATGAGGCGTAAATACAATATGAAGCGGGAGGCGGGGATAGGAGGCGAATGCTGTGTTCCCTAGTGTAACTAATTTCACATCTGGCTGGTTTGAGGTGGAGAAGTCAAGGCAGACATTCTCAGTGATTCTGGCTTCTCCTTACTCTCACTATAACCAGAATTTCCTGGGCTAGATCTTCATATTCATTCTAATAAACAGAACCGTCTAAGCACTGGAAGCTACAGGCAAACAAGATTAATACAATCTCTCCTGTATTGTAACTTCTTGTGTGCCATTATTTTATATCACACATTCCTTTCTTATCCTGTGTGTGTGTGTATGTGTGTATATATGTTTAAAAAATACATTTCTTTTCCTGAGGATCATGGTTCAAAGCCAGCAAATCCAATAGACACTTATCTACAGTGAACCATCAAAACCCAGAAGTAGAGGTGTGGTTCGAGTGGTAGAGCTCCATCCTTGAGTAAAAAAAGCTTAAGGACAGTGTCCGAGCACCTTAGTTCAAGACACACACACACACATGATTATGAGATTGTAGAAATAACCAACATTTATGGGCCGCTTAGTGTGTCAGGCATTGTTGAAGAATATATATATATATATATATATATATATATATGTATATTATTTCACTTAACATGTATACCATCCTAGGAAGGAAATGTATTCATAGCGCCGCCTCTCTCCCCACCCGCCATTTCCTGGGGCTGCTTGAGTCTGTTGGCTGGATTGACAATGCTGGAGCCAGTCAGAGTGAGAATCGGCTTCGCGGTCATACAGGGGCTGTTCCCCGCTCCCTGTCCAGGGCAGCTGGCAAAGAACCTTAGCTCTCACACAGCGGTGTGGGAAACAAGTAAACAACAGGTGTGGGCCTGATACCAGGCCTCAATCTTCTAATAAGCAGCGTCTGGCTGGATGAGAGTAATGCATTTGCTTTTTGTGCTTGAACTCCCAGCCTCCTGCTCTTCCCTCAAGGCTGGTGCTCTACCACTTTGAGCCACACCTCCCTTTCTGGCTTTTTGCTGGATAAGTGGAGATAAAAAGAGTCCTAGGAGACTTTTTTTTTTCCTGCCCAGGCTGGCTTTGAACCTGCCTGCTCATCACTCAGCCTCCTGAATTGCTCGGATCACAGGGGTGAGCCACTAGCGCCTGGCTAGATTAGAGTAATATTGTTGCTTACAGTAAATATGGCATTTTCTTTCTTTCTTTCTTTCTTTTTTTTTGTACTCATGAAAATCGCCCTGACATTTAATTCCAGGATAATTACCTTTAGGAATCTGGCAAAATCAGAAGTGTTGCTTTGGCTGGCATTTCTCTTACTCCCCGGTGACCTGGGGTTTGTAATCACAATGAAAGATTACAAGGACCTGCCCTTTTTCTGGACTTCTTCTTCCTTCTGGAACATTCTCTGTGGGCCACAGTGGTCTTTCTGGCAAAATGAGGGGGGGGTGGCAGTGAACATTATGATCTGTTGATTTGATCCAGATATCTCAGCCATAATGAATTTCAAGGCTGGCTGGTTTTGGGGGGCTGGTGATGAGAGGTGGGGCCTGGCTTCTGTCACCACAGGAGCTAGCTGGGGAGGGGAAGTAGCAGAAAATCATTTTGATCCAACAGATTCAGGAAGACAAGAATCAGTCTGTGATCTGAACTGTTTGGAATGAGAAACCATCTTTCCTCCTCTGGACCAGATGACGGCCGATAGAAATCATTAATTCACACAGACGGTGTGAATTAAGAGCATTCTTGGCTTCAGTCTGAGAAAAAGCCAGCTCTGGCCTGGCGGAAGTGGTAGAACTCTCTGCTCTGGTTGATCTTCCGGGTCCCCGCTCCGAGGCTTCAGAAGCTACTTTTCAAAGCTGAGAAATAGCTCTGCCCAGTCGGATAATTGGGTCTGTGAGAGTCTTTCAGAGGAGCTTGGATCTAATCGTTAGTACCACTGTTTCATCTTGCTTGAGGATACAAAGTAATTTTTAAGTCATTACCTATTTTATAATACTATGTGATTTCTGACGTATTACACGTGCACACATACACACAAGATAATTACCAACAAGCAATTTCCCAAGGTTACAAGTAATTTTTTATTTAAAAGCATCTTCTAACCAAGTTGTGGGTCTTGAACTAGGTACCTGGGCGCTGTCCCTCAGCTCTTCAGCTCAAGGCGCGCGCTCTACCATTTGAGCCACAGCGCCACGTCCGGTTTTCTGGTGGCTCCTTGGAGATGAGAGTCTCATGGACTTTTCTATGTGGGCTGGCTTTGAACTGCGATCCTCTGATCTCAGCCTCCTGAGCAGCTAGGATGACAGGTGTGGGCCACCGGTGCTGGCCACCATTTTATAGACTGCTAACGAAGAAGCCAGGGCCAGGAGGGTGAGTGGAACAACCCTGCCCCTCCCCCCCCCATGCCTGCACGCGGGGCTGCGGAGGGCTGTGTGAGATAGTCCACCTGTCCATCCTGGCCTCCATGGATGGCCGGATAGGGACAGACAAACCCTGAGCCTTCCCGCAGGCTGGTGCTTGTGCAGATGTTTGGCTCAAATGCTCACCACTTTGCCGCCCTCACCCCAAATTGCGCAAAGCCAAGTAGGAGCAGCCTGGGGTCGCTTGCCCTCTCTGAGCCACCGCCC